CCGACCCCGGAACGGATGGAAGGCTTGGTTGGCCCGGGCGACTCACGACCCAGGATTTGATCCCCGGACCGCTCGCGTGGTAAGCGTGCCACTTGCCACTACACCACTTCCGCCCTTTGATGTATATGTAATATTATTGTAGAGCATAGTGTAAACACCCAGGCGCTCATGTCCCTAGGCAGACATTCGAAGCACGGCATTGAGGAACGTCGGTGAGAACAAAGCTTGCTCACTCCCTTCCTCAGAATCCTGCCGTTTAAGGTCTAGTATCAAGTTCTGTATGTGGCTCACTTTAATATCCCCTTAACTGCTGAGCGCTAAACAGCCATAATCAATCACAGCATTCGATCATTGATTGAAACTGTAAGAGTGATACTGGAAAAGCCTTTGCATGACTCTGGTGACGGAGTGCTCCACTCATCTGACCATTCTTCACTGTCGTTGAAAATAAGACATACCTCAGAGCCAAAGAGTTCGAATGGCTCAGGAATTCCGTGTATTGGTGTGACAATGCTCATGATTGAACCGTACTCAGATAGATGGTTAGAAAAAATGAAGATGTTCTTAGTTGAGAGATCATCCCAATATATGTACAGCTAGTTGCGCTCAATATCCTTATATGCACGGACAACGTGGAAATTGAATTTTATCCGTATAATGTCAGTGTCTTCGATTGTTTCTTCACTATAAAGACAATGAAAGCAATGGCTGAGAATCGGCTTAGTTTTGACGACGTTGTTGGCCGTCATCGAGGAAGGGAGAGGGAGCAGGGCTGCGTAATGAGGACCTTCTCCCAGCTTCCAGCAATTACTTACGCCTAATGACGTCATCGCTGCTACGAATCTCTGATTCGGGTGGTTGTCCGAATGTGACTTCCGTCCGTCGAAAGTTATGAGCCTACAACGTTAGCCAAAACATAACTGAGACGAGCTTAACTGGTGGAATCGCAGTAAGCGCCAAAAAGAGTACTCGCCATACTTGCAATCAGGGTGTACATTCGCCCATGTAGAAGAAGTCCCAGGCAAAAGCAACCGTGTTTCCACATAGGTTGCACCTCACCATTAGCGTTCTTTTCTTTTGCAACTTTAAGGCTCACAACTTTCTTACAAAGTTCACGTAGCAGTTTTAGTGTCCATATTTGTAATCAGCGTCCAAGACTCTATCGATGTACCTAGGTCTCCTTTCAAAGTTCCATGGGAATTTCAAAACATTTTCCTGGTATATTGAGCCAGAACCGCATGCACGGCTCATCTGAAAAGGGAACTCAATAACACCGAGCATTGTATGGTCGTCTATACCAAGAGTCTTGCTTTTTTTCTCAATTTTTGAATCAAAAATAGCGAAGTTCTGTCTAACAGTGAAACCAAAGTAACAGTGAGGCTTCTGAGACCTTTGCACTCTCATATTCCGCTTTTGATTTTCCTATTATCTGAACAGTGCAAAAGTCCTTAGCAGGGGCAGATGTTTCTGTAAACGCTGCTTTGGTCTCAGCATACTGAATCATACTGAATTACGCACCTTGATGCAGACGTGGGCACGAATCAGTGATTAACGTTGGGCGAGCCAAGCGCTGCTGCTGCTCTCGTATAGAGCCTTGTAGGCTGGCCACAATAAGCTTATACAATAAACGCTTGGCTACATATGTTCGATTTATTAACAGAAAATGTTACTACAAAGAATTGCGGCTTCAAGCTGCCTTATGGAGAGATCTTATCACACGTTCCCAAGATACCGAAGAGTCCGTTCTGACATGTGACGGTCGATTCGCCCCTAACGACGAATCCAGGATTGCACGTCAATGTAGCTGTTGTTCCTTGTGGGTACGGTGCTACTCCACTGTAGATGACATTGCCATTTAGCGGCGGAATGACACCGACGGGGCATGGAAGCGTACCTGCCAGGCCGCCAGCAACGTTTCCAATGCCAGGAGTCTGAGGTGAACCGACTGCAAAAAAAATTACTGTACTTGAATTTTGAGTCTACCGGTAGAACTGCTGTGGATGTGAACAAATGACGTACGGTTGTTGTTGTTATTATTGCACGTCCCCATAATGGGTGGCTGCCACTGGCCATTTTGGCATGTTGCCACGGACGCACCTGAAATTAGGCGAATATGCGGTTGCATGATCCAGGTCTCTAGTGAAACTATGATAAATGTGAATCTGAAACAGATACATTTCCACCAGTTCAGCTACGGTGAGTCGTTGTTTAGTTCAAAGCACGTTCCACGTCAGCAATTTGTCGCTATGGCCCCATTATATGTAAGACATCGCAGGCCATTCTCCATCGCTTCATCAAGGGAGTTGTCCACTTCGGTTATACTTCTCTCCCCACCGAAGGAGGTTTCAACGATTAGGTCAAAGGTCGAAAAAGAGGGAAGCTGCGGGAAGACAGTGAGCTAGTAGAAAGACGGGAGGGCCCCTGAGGGTGCGGACCTACGCGCAGTTTGCAGTGAAAGACATTCCCCTGGCGATCTATTATAGCATGGCCACGCCCACGAACACATCTAGCATAGCCTTCCCCGTGGCGCTATTGACTCCTTGTCCGGGCGTTACGTCTCCCTCGCACTGTCTTACCCTTTAGCTTTTCAGCAGAGAGAGCGTTAACCTTAAACAGGGCAGCAGCGTCGAGATTCGCATCAATGCGGGAATCCATAGGCATGGATGAGAGTCCCATTCCCCGAATTCTGAGACATTTGCTCGCTTTTTCTTTTTTTCGTGCAACACGGACCACTCCAACTCAATTTGCAATGGGCTGCCCTTTATTCGCAAGCTCCGCTTTTGACAGAACAGTTCACAAAAACAAATTGCGGCATTGGGTGGATTTTTGATTTCTTAGGGCGAGTACTGTGCGTCCGCTTCTTAATGTAGATGATTTGACGGCGTAGGACGACTTTCCGATGAAGAAAGTGCGCAGCCGCATGAGAGATGCAGACGAAAGAGACGACACGGCGGGAGAATATTCGGATATTCGTTTGGCATGAAGCTGGACGGGTATATAGCTGGAGGGGGTGAAGCTTATATGACTGACTATGTAGTGCCATAGGAAAGCTCTCTAAAAGAAAATAGGGGACATATGCTCAGAGACTGAGACTTGAACACTTGGACTTTTTGGGAGTAAGCTGGGCCGAGATAAGCAAACCAGCCCTTTTGGTGCTTC